GATCAGCACCCAGATCGATAGCTCGCCGTATGCTGGACTGAGGTGCCAAGAGATCGACTCCGGTCCGCCTCAGGGGACATGTCCTGACGGAGGTTTACTACGGGCCATTGATTACTGTTATATGTTGATATCATTAGCAATAAAACACAGATAGATACCTTCATGAGCGTGACTCCGGCCTCCCATTCTTGTGCCCGTCACTCCTTAATGGTTTTTCATTGATAGAGGTTCCCCGCTGATGGTAGTACAACATTCTATAACTCACATTGAAAAATATGCAAAAGCTGAGAGACAGAGTTACCATGAAAGACTAAAAATACTCAACGACAGATTTTTTTTCTTCTGTACATGCAACTTTGACTATGATAAATAGAACAGAAGTAAGCACATCAAACAGCTCTTTGTTAATACCGCATGGTAAAGAACAGCACATACATACACAGATCCGGCCAGCTCTGCATACAATTTTAAGCTTATAAGAAGGAGCTGTTTCTAACTAAAAGATTTGCATGGGTGCGGCGAGCAAAAGCTTTTCTTCGTTTAATGTAATTAGAAGTACCGCTTTTTCCATTTGAGTTCATGGGAGACCTTTGCGAATAATTCCACAAGAAATAACTCCCAGCTCAAAAACACACCGCAGATAAGAGAAAGAGATTTGGATAAGCATTTAATGCTCCACAAAAATTTATGCTTCACATCTGAAGCGGCCACCTCACACTAGGTTCTTCCCTTGCCAGAGCAAGTTGACAGCGAAATATTAGAAGAAGTAGGCATAAAGTAATGAGAAAGTTTGTCATATTGTATCAGTCTACAATGGAAAGATACGCATAGAATGTTTGAAAAATTACTTAATTTAAGTCAAAAATTCCAGAAATGTTGTTCAAGTAAATAGGATTGCAGACAATAGCAAAATCTCTTCATGGACGGAAAACAAAAGATCTAAACAATGGAACAGAACAGAGATGAAGAAGTCAAAAGACAAATGAGGATGTACTAGGTTGATGCAAAAATAATAACTGTTCTGCTAATTTTCACTTTGACGTCTATGACTTTCCAAAAAACCCATATTTCTGAACGCGGTCGAAACCATCAGAAGCAGCAAACCTTTTGCAATACAGCGCACTCTCTATTATACTCACAACGTAAACGGGAAGAAGAATACGGACTGAAAAACAAAAAAACAACAAAAACAAACTTTTGACAGTAAATAACTTCCCTCAAAATTCGTTATTATTATGAATGACAGGTGGCCTATCTTGTAGCCGCAAGCCAGTAGTACACAACACAATAAAAAGAATTCGGACAAAAAAGTTTGCGAGAAAGAAAAAAAATTAATTAAAATTGTCAGTTTTTTAACTCTTTTTCTGTATGCCTCAAAACCCCAATTATAGAATTTTTGCGTACTAAACAGCTACTAGGATGCACAGGCATTACGCATACAGAATTGAGCAAAGCTTGGGCGATTAACTTCTTCAAAAGATATTTATAGGTTACTAGTTTGCTTTCCCGGTCCAGCCCGGGCCGCTGGTCACCTGCACTGCGAGCCCCCCCCCCCCCTTATATGTTATGGATGACTTACCCTGAAACATCCGTTTTGAAACCGCATCCTCGTGACTCTGAGGTAAAATTGAGCTTCACCGCCCTCCTTTACATGACCATGCGAAAATGCTTGATTAAGCATGATAGGCCTCCAATTTCTTAGAAAAACGTAAACAAATCAATAAACCGATGAAATGACCCAGTGAGTTTCAGTAAAAACTAGCTGGCAAACCAGGCTCCGCCCGGCCCTGTCATTATTATATTCGTAATCAGCATGCTCGATTACCCCCCTGTGCCAACTCCCAGCCCCGTAGATCAAATTTTGCAAAAAAACGATAAAATCGATATCGATCGATAACGAAAAGTAGCCTGTGACACGCTCACTGCCCCGAAGTATATGTGTGCCAAGTTTGGTCCAAATCGGTTCAGAAATAAAAATTTCTATTCCGCACATACGTACAGACAGACATACAGACATACATACAGACAGACATTCAGCTTTATATATAAGATTATCCTAAAACCGTCTCCGGGGTTTAAACATTTGTATGCAAAGTTTAAGCCCAATCGATTGAGAGACGGGCGTTTTTATAGCTCACAAATTTCTCAAACAGACAATTTTTGATTTTATATATATAGGGATAAAATGACCGCAACGGCTACCCATACCCGAGCCACTTTTTTAGAACTCTGGAAATAGACATGAGAAGCTGAACCAGCGTTGAACTTAAAGGCACCGTCCACCCAAAGAGGGGGTTCACGAGATTCAATGGCATACTAATGTGGGCCCCCACACTAGGCCAACCCCCAAGTAGTGCTGCAAAAGATTCCTTCCAAAGCAAGAATTCCGCTCCGGAAGAGACGTAATCCGAAGCTGGTCACTCCGCTCACCTGGTCACTCCGCCCATTTTGCAGGTTTGGCGGACTGCGGCGCTGAAATACGCCGAGCGTATAACGCGCCGCAGCCTTGCGACTTGCATTGCGCCGTTCTCCAAAACGGGGTTTTTTGGGGCTCCATGTCAGGAGTCACGCCGCGCGCCGCCCCGCTTCGCCGCGCACTTCGCGTCTAAATTGTACCCCATAAAAATGCCCGGTGCTAAAGTGGAACGGCGCCAGTCTAGTGGGGTGGGGGTGGGGGCAGATACATGGCTCGTGCCATAAGTAAGACTGCGCTAGGAGTGCTGGCTTCTGTTTTGCTGACATCGCTTGCGGCATCGCTTCGCGAAAAATTCGCGTCGACCGTGACTCCTGACCGTTCCCCGTTTTTTGGTTATTTCGCGGATTCTCGACTACATATTTGGAATCAGGACCTTCAGAAGGCCTGGAAACGACAAAAACATGGAAATCGAGAATTTGGGTGGACGTTGCCTTCAAAAATTCTTGGCAGAACTCCAAGTGGATAGCTTTGATATGCGGTTTGCGGCGATAAGAAGCCCTTCCTGTAAACACATATGAGAAATCGAATTAGAATATAGGACACATATAAACAAAAATATATGTTGTTGCAACTAAATATCGATACCTTGAGTATGCGGAAGTTCAACTCCTAGATTTGGAATGTTCGGGTGAAGCCATCGAGTCCTAGCACGCTTGTCCTTCAACTCTATCGAAAGTCTATAGCAATCCTCCCCTGAAGCAGTGCAGTTCCCTGTGGTGCTGGTTTAAGATTGCGTTCGCAAATGTCTACCTGAAAGAAGAAGAATAAAGCGAAGTAGAAACCAAAGCACGCGAGGAAACACGAAAACGCGGAGAAGAAAGTGTCAAAAACGATTTAAAGTATTCTTAACGACGGGACTTTTTCAAAAACAGCGAAAGCTGCGTGTCAGCTTGATGGCTAATTGGCGGCGTATTAATTTCCCCGGTACTTCTGAAGAATTGGGAAATTGCCGAGAAATACTTCACTTAATTTCCCCCAAAAACACTGTGCCCGACTTTTGTACGTCACCTCGAAAGGACCGCCCCACACTCCGCCTTATCTGTTGGAGCGTAGAGCGGTCCTTAGCTTCAATAGTCAAGAGTGCCCCGGAACCCCAGAAGTTTTGCAGTCGCTTGCGGTGGGGTCCGAGCGATTGTCTCATTGTTCTACAATTTTCACATTGCGCCTTTCGCGGTTATGGCTCTCCGAAGCAAAGCATCAGGAAAACCTCAAAATTTGCAACGAGCTTCCTAGAGGCTGAGTGTATATGAAGTGACGCAAGGTTCCAAGCGCCTTGCACCGTACCATGAAAGTTCTCAAAGACTTTGTAAGCAGCTCATTTGCAGAACGGATTGACACTCAGTGCAGTCGAGCAGAAAGTCTGACGAAGTCTTACATGTCGTAATTTCAAAATCTTAGGGCAGAGTTCACGCGATTTGATCGTCGCGATTCAGTCGCGACAGCTGTTACGAGTTTATTGCATGCCGACCAGCTTGCATTTGAGCTGTGATACTTTTCCCACCCGAAATTTTTAAATGTAAAATGAAAATTAATGGAAATCGCGGCGATTGATCGCAACGACCAAATCGCGTGAACTCTGTCCGAGGCCTTAGTGAAATAGTATGGATTCACCTACAAAATATAAGCTTGCAATACATTTGGAGGAATGTAGTGGTTGAAAAAGCAAATGATTTATAGTAGCGGCTAGCTTTGGTACAGCCTTGTCAGCTTTGTCTATTTCTTTCTGGGCCAAAATTAGCCAAAGTCATAGAGACAAAATACGGTTTGCAGGACGCAATTATAATTGCAACAGCAATGTTTATCAACTGACATTGACCTCACCAATAAAGGTGCGGAATCATCACGATATAAGAAAGCAAATTTTTGGCATATTTGGTGCTAACACTTTTCCAAGCATATTTTCCATGAAGGGACGCTACGCTCTTTGTCAAAGCCCCTGTGTTAAGGCTAAACGTTCAAATTGGTTTAGGAATTTTGATGGTTTGTGCGATTTGGATGCAGTTATTGAAACTGGCTCATTTTGCGCAAGTGTTGCGAAAAAAACTGTATGTTTTGGTCTTTTGACGCAGAAGACATAAATATTTCGAGTACAAAAGTTTGATATGTCCAGAACGACTCAGCTTCAAAGGTACAGTGTGCTCAGACATCCATGAACAAAACTTTTTCCAAATTTTTAAATACCTTAAAACTGGAGAGAAATCTACGCAATGCATTTGGCTGGCATCAGCTCTAGTTCATACTGGCTGCCTCCCAGGGCATTGCATGAGAGCATTCGCATTACGACTTAAGAAGCGAATTTCCGACGAGCGAATTTTTTAAAAGTTCACGTCTATTGTGAAAAAAATGGTCCAAATCAGTGATGAAAAGAATAATAAAAGTTTTTCTTCCAAAAAAGTCCAGTAACACATCACAACGATGTAAACGCCGTGGTGGCAGAAACATTGACGCCTACCGTATGCCCGCGTTGAGGGCAAAGGAAAATGAGGGGAAGCGATGGGGCATACACGGTGTAAAGCACCTGTGGCCATCAGGTTGCACAGGTGAGTGCGAAACAGATTACTTCATCACCTTAGCTGTCTTCATCCACAGCTCATCAAAACTATGGCCCTTTACGTAAACGGTCCATATTTGAGAGTAAGTTTGCTTTTTCTGCTCAAGCAACGTCTGTTCAAAAAGGTAGCTAATGCTTTTTGACCTCACAATAGCACGACGAAGTTAGACATATGCTTTCTTCTTCCCTATATATTGCTTTACTGTGTTTTGCCGCTTTTGCATTGTTTTTTTTTCAAATATTCAGCAGGCCCGCGCATAAATCTAGCGTAATTCGTTCTTATTTCTAAGTCTTGCCTCATGTGTTTGATCACGGGTAAATATAGTAAACTGAATTGCCTTGATACCTACAGTATACCTACGTACGAAAATTTGATACATGAGTTTGAAACAAGGAAAATAGTAAGCTAACTGAAGTAATAATACTAGTTTGTTATATAATTTAGTTTTCGCAATCTAAAGGATTGGAAAATTTTTTGCACTACAGAATTACGCTCTTGCAAGTTTTAGGTGTTCTAATTTTCTCGAGCAAAAAAACGAAGTGGTACTAAACTACTCAGTTAACGAACAAGTATATCTAAAATGTCGTGGAACAAAACACAAGTTATAACAAAATGAATGAAGTCCTTCCTAAACAAAAAAGTAGCAGAATATGTAACCTTCTTCACCGAAAGCTTCACTCAGTATTTATCTAGATTTTGCTTTCAGACATAGAAGACCTCATTTCTCTGGAAACTTCACAAGCTTCAAATGCAATGGACAGAATGCAAGCAAGCTTTTCTCAATTTCTTTTATCACTAACATGATAATTTCAGTGTCCGCTGTGCTCGAAATCCTACCTCACATTTTTTGGCCTTCGAAGGCATATGCAATGTCATCAGGACGGTCGAGTACATCAAACATGTGTTCATTGCCAGAAGCATTACAAGTAAGAGTATAAACCAAAGCCTTAGTATCTGTTTAGAAGGAAAAAAGTTGAAATCAGAGATACATGCTGGTGGAAGGTTGTTTATCAATATAAATTGTTCGCTATAAGTTCTGAGTCTCTCAACCTTCCCAAACTATGAGCTCCTCTATAAGTTTTCCTCGATTTCTTAATCTTCTTTCATCATTTTGACTCCCTATTGTACATAACTCCTGACTTAGAGAACATATTTCTCGCAAAGATCAAAGATGGACATCAGATACTGCAGGTGTAGTCAGCCACGAAAAAAGCTGAAGTTCTTCCGATAGGAGCTCCTCGATTCGTCTTTTCCGGGTGGCAATATTTTGATGCAGGAGAGCACACCTGCGCGCACCTGTTCGTCTGGGTGTTACAAACGCAGAGAAAACCGGAAAGCTCTGAAACAGGTGCCGTGAGTGTAGCCGAACTTGATTGTAGTGATTTGTGAAGGTTTTGAGTTATTGTTGGGGAAAATGATAGCAAATTTCGACAGAATATTTCTGTGGAAATCAGCTGTATCGATTCTGCGGGTGAAACTATTTTTTTGCGTTGCGCGAGATTTTACTTTTTCTCGGAAGTTTTAAAACACTACTCGAAACTTCAAGCATAGAATCAAATTGTAATTTTTCTTATGTAAAATTATATTCTAGTGCAGGGCTCGGTACAGCTGGCATTGGGTCAAGCTGAGTATCGTTGGGACAAAAAACAAACAGAATGTTTGTGGTCGAAAAGACACAAAAATCGACATTTTTTGAGACGACTTTTCGTTCTTTCGAGTGTTTTTCGGTGTTTAGGGTTTAAAGTTTAAAGGGAACCTCGTACGGAATTCTCAGGATCAAAGGAGAGTTCGTTTTGAAGTTACCCTGGTGCCAGCTCGTGACGAGCCCTGTTCTAGTGAGCGGAAGCCTCGATTAAGTCTTTAGTGGACAGATTAGGAAAAAAATGCTGTACTCTACTCATCTACACTTTCTAGTCGCTCTTTTCCCTCTTACCGTTGTAAACCATTTTTACCACGTTTTGCAATCTTGGTAAGCTTACCACAGTAGTCGTTGTAAGTAGTTTTTTCTCTCATCATCATTTTTCACAAAAAAAATTACCTAAAATCACCGTACACTTGATGTGCGGGACAATTCAGATCGTATTTCCATAATTATGATGCAATTGATTTTGTAGTCAATTTTCCAATGATCAACACTGCTTTTGGGAATCGGTTGCTATCCCAGTAAAACCTACATATGGAACCCTGAAGATTGCGAGTTACCATTTTGACCTTTTTCAGCACTATGTTTCAGTCAGCCTTATCGCAATTAGGCGTCGACACATGTAGAAAACAATATATTCTTTAATTCGACTGGCTTGGCCCGTTGAAGGCGGGGCTTCATGACCTAACCAAGGCTATGTAATAATCCGAGAGCAGCGCGAGGGAGAAACGCAGACTCAAAGCGGCCTTAATTAGCTCACAAAGCCCCGCCTTCCAGGAGCCAAGTCAGTTGAATCAAAGGTTACCTTTGCTATATTTGAGTGACTTACTCATTTTCCTTCTAACTGAAGCATTTGTGAGCAAGTAAATCCTGGATTTTCGTTCGAAACACTTTTATTGAGTATGAGTGAGAGAATTTTTTTCACTTTTGTTATATTTTTTCAGATCATCCGGTGCACTGAAGATCAACTCAAAACACATTCTTTACCATGCCTTTGTGAGAAATGTGGAAGAAGCTTCAGTAGACCGTGGTTATTGAAAGGCCATCAGCGAACACATACAGGTATCTATTAGCAGATTTTTCTTTATCTTTACTACTTCTTTTCAAAATTTTTGATAATTCTGGTGGAGAAATCAAATTCAATTTATTGACCTGCTCGTTTTATAACCTAATTTAGGTGAGAAGCCGTACGCTTGTTCGTTATGTGGCCGAAATTTCGCTGATCGTAGCAATCTCAGAGCACATGAACAAACACATTTCCCGCAAAGGAAACATAGGTAAATTTCTCGTCCCATTATCAAAAATTGTTTTTAAGGCAATGTGTATTTAGATGTGTCTATTGTAAACTGTCATTTGCTCGTGCTCAAGTGCTGGAAAAACACAAAGCAGTTTGTCCCTCAAGACTTGATGAGAATTCGAGCTGATATTATCAAAGAAAAAAGAAATAAAAAAATAAGTCATATTGTGTCTGTTTCTATCGAGAAAAGAGGTAAGAGCTTTTGAAAGGAAAAAAAGAGACAGGGATTTTGGAAAGGAACGATATTCCAAGCACTTCATCTCATATGTTTTACATAAAGCTCACTTCAAAATGGAGCTTACCAATGAATTTATGTATACGACATCAAAAGATCTTCCCATTCTTGTCCGTCACAACGATCGAAAAAGCGGTGTGCATCATTTTCTCAGAGATTCGCAGTTGTCATCCGCAGGATGATGTGATCTCATTGACCAACTGCGCGTCACACGAAATCGGTGTCGGGGCAAAATCGGGACACCTGTGTTTGCATCGGGGCAAAAGTGCGGGGCATTTTCCGGCCATTATCGGGTGACCTCCGGGAGACATCATAATGCCTCGATCCTTAGTTCAAGCTGTGGTTCACCCTCGTAAGTAAATATATATATACTATATATAGTATATATATGTTTATAAATGTATATCATAACTTATAATAACGGGCTAAGGATGTTTACGTGACTTTGTGTGTGTGTGTGTGTCTGTTACGAAATTCGTGGAGCGTGTTCCAGCTAGCGTTCTAAGCCCAAATTTTGTATAGCGCATGCTACCTTCATGAAAGTCCAACATGCAAAAACACGAGTAGATTCGTTGATGGGATCCCTCAGAAATTGCGCGCCAGTCGGGTCCACCTGGCTTCTGTACCACAAAATTCGGTCCGTATCACCGCTTTTTGCAGAGTCGTGGATGAGTTTGGTAAGGAAATGTGCAAGCGATGGAGTTTAGCCGAAAAGTGGTCGAAAGTTTACTATATAGCGAAAACGGCGCCAAAACGAATTCGTTGTGTAAATGGTCAATTTGCCAAGGTTCTAGCTAAGCGTTTGAGAAGATTTTCGCACAGAGATGTAGCTCACGGTTATCATCACCTTTATGGCGACTACCAAGTCATGATTAATTGAAAAACCTATTCAAATTTGCGTTTGTCTTCCTGCGAAAAGTTTCATCCACGCGAAATCACCGATCTCACGTGAAAAGACTTTCTAAATGAGTGGTTGTTTACATTTTATTCGTGGTAGTCGGCATAGCGCGATGAGTTCCAGTGCCACGATTTTATGAGAATGAGTAAGGCATATAGATAATAGAGCCAGTGCGAATTTCTGCGAAGCAGAGGTGACGCACTGGTATTTCATAAGTGAATAATAAATGGAATCTGGCGTTACTCGGCTCTGCAACATGCTACTTCTATAAAGAACCATCCGATTTCCTTGTAAAGGCTTAAAAACTTGCACAATAAATTCAGACTAATAGCCTGTACTCAGTCTGCATATTTTCAGCCTTTCCATGGAAAATCTGTAAAGCGTTGTCTTATATAATTCTTTGCATGCCATTTAAAATCATCATATTAAGAATGTTGCTGTTGGGAATGCAAAAAAGGGTGAGAATGGCACCTTATTTGGAAAGAGTATGCAGGGTGAGTTGTATGTAATATTAGGCTTTCTGATGCAAATGATTTGCCATCGCCTGCAGCTAAAGATTTCGCTAAAGCTCAACGCTTTTTACAAAAAATGGTCTCAACGAATACATGATTTCTCTTCATGACCTTCACATTTACAAATATGAATTGCAGTTTAGTAAGTATTGTGTTCGCCAATCAGATTCTGGAGAATTTACTGACCTAACGTTTCGACATCGGCGTCATCATCAGAGGCCTGAAAACGGATTGTGGGCTTTTTGACTTGTTCACCATGCCCTCAGGCGCCTCTTCCCAATCAGTCTAGACCTAGTCTGAGACTCACAGCATGAGACCTCAAAGCTAGGAAACGAGCAAACCTTGACTCCACCAGTTAGCGACAAGCCCGCACATGTGATGGTAACGGACGTCACTGAATGCGTTCAGTGAGTCAAGACCTTTTATGTGCGTTGCTAAGCCCACATAATGATATGAATGGAGCTAAGTCACTACTAATAGACAAGCACTCATTCTTGACATTCAACTCTGGATTTTTGACACTAATCCATGCGGCTTCAAAAATTTTCCTGGTGCATATCTTGGTTTCATAGGTCAGAATCGTACATTTCACTTCATAATCATCTGCACATTGTGCCTGCTTATGTCGGACTAACGGTGCTGTTTGAATCCCTCGTCTTTTGCTGGCTAAATGCTCCTCAAACCTTACACCTAGATTTCTATCCGTTTTTCCGATATAACGGTCATGAGAAGTCAAACATTCTAGCTGGTACACCACACCTGCCTTTGCGCAATCTCCTACTCTGCCACATGGACAAACAATACAATGTCCATTATGCGATCGCTATCATAAAGTCTGTTTCTCACCAACTGCTTCTTTATATTGCAATTCGGGATACTGACAAGCATCATCCTGCAGTTGGGCTCTATAAATGCATTGTTTGATTGCCTTGCTAACTTCGTCTGTAATAAACGGCATGCACTGAGGGATCTTATCGCGTTGAGTACGGATATGATTTTCGGAATGCTGTGTGATACGCTATGTTCTTGCAATGCATATCTGTTGCTGCGCGCGATTTGTGATGCAAGCTTCCTTGACTCAAGCCGCTCTTCGTGACCCGTGCACACCATCGAAGCAGTTCTGATCATATTATGATAGATCGCTTCTTCATCCATATGGGGTGAGCCGATTTGGCATAAAACAAGAGTACGAAAAGAAATAATGAGTAAAACTAATAATCTGTCATCAAAAAAAAGCTGGCAGGAGTCGACGCTGTACAAGACCGGATTTGATTACACCAACTGACTTTAGCTCAGTGCCTTGAAAACTGTTACTAAACAGTTTCGAACTGCTCCCAAAAACTTTTGCAAAAAGCCAAGCCTCCTTAGATAGTGCCCAGTACAGGAAATTGACAGGATTGTAAGCTCTTAAGTTTCACTTCAAACGTACGAATGGAACCCATGTCCACTATTTCACTCAGCATCTTTGCCAGAAAATGCACATCAGATTGTATGGAGCATCGCCGAAGCCGAATCGCTATTGGCTACCTGGGCTAATCAGCCAATTGCCGTTAATACAGAGGTGTTACAGTCTCTTGCAGCCAGTTGGCGGAGATCCCGCTCCAGCCTTCTCAGTAATCTACAAGGCCAGACGACTCCATAAAAAACACTTCTTGACTTTAAGCACAGCTCTGGTCTAAACGCATCCACTCAGATAATCGCCGGGTGCAGGCGGCCATGCGATTTATGGGCGAGCGGGCACCGAAAAAAATTCGCCGATTTCTTGCGATCCGCTTGCACATATTTGAAAAAATTTTAGCGAAATTTTAGATCAATGCTTGGAGAACAATCGCGGTTTTCCTATAGATTAGCTGCGGCGCAGTAGCCGCATTCTCGCGGACTTTCCGCGAGAATATGCAAGATTTTCGGGGACCGCACGATTTTTTGTGGAGGGCGCAGCCCCCGGGTACTTTCCGCTGAGAGAAAGTACCTCAAACTTGAGTAATTAAACCATCGATGACACCTTTGCCATGTAGAGTCTCACCTTTGCTTGGCGTATGCCCCGTGCTTAAAAACCGTCCGAGCGCCAGCTGAAAATTTGACCAGCTCGCTGAAGTGAATTATTTGACGAGCGCCTGCAGAAAATTCTGTGTTGCTGCCCGCTGGCAGAACATTAGACAGTAAAGGAAGCACCGCTCGCTGAAGGTTTGGCCTTGCCCCAAAATTCTGCTGACCTCCTGCAGAAAAGCACGAGTTTGCGGACCGCCTGCCCCCGGCGATTATCTGAGCAGAAGGCCAAGGAGGAACGGAAAGCGCGCAATTGCAATTTCCCCTTAGCCACTGCCTTTGACTTAGTGGCTTTTATTGCTTTTTACATTTGAAATAGACACAGTTTATGCACCGTAGAAGTTGACTGCAAAGTACTAAAGTTATGCAAGACTAGTTGATAAATACACATATTCTTAACTCTGGTATGTGCATGTACATTGCGCGCCAGATATAATGTTTATATATACTTACAAATATTTATATACAGGGTGTCCGTAAACTATGTATACACTGTTTGATCGTTAGCATCTTTCTTCCCAACAAGTCCTTTGCTTTGCTTCAGGTACAGTTCTGTAGAGCTGGCTTCAATTTAGATTTATTAGATTTACAGTATGGAGGGAATCACCGATCGCTCTTCATTACCGTAGGATTACGGTAGAAACTTGAAACATATGGTATCAATGTGGAAAAAGCTGCCATTTCAGAATTTTTCAAAAAAAGTGAAAACTTGTGTAATAGGGTTTTTATGGAGGCTAAGTTCAATACCCAACTGTTCACGAAATTGCGAAGCTTTCTAAACGGTGTAACCGTACTTTTTAGGAATTTCAAAATGCACGCTACCTCTTACCTGGAATAACTCTTTAATGAAGCACCATAATAATTTGGGAACTTTATAGTTAGAACAAGCAACTCTAATTAGCCTAGTGTAAAAGTTTTCAGGCTCTTTTGTTTCCTTTCTGAGGCAAAATATGGCCTTTCATGGCTCAAAATCCTCTTTGAAGTTTCTACCGTAATCCTACAGCAATGAAGAAATATAGGTGAGTCGCTATACTGCAAACCTAAGCTGAAGCCAGTTCTACAAAATGATGCGTAGAGGTAGGCAAGAAACTTCTTGTGAAAAGAATTAACGATCAAAGAGTGTATACGTACTTTACGGACACCCTGTACTATTATATTTGATATATTAGATCGTTCCGAGTTCTTTCCGTTTTTTCAACCTATCATAAAAACACGTGGAATAAAGGTAGGGAAGCGCTTCAAGGACTATCCGACGCAGCTTTTCTTCTTCTTTCCAACAGTCATGTTTTGGGACTAGATGCCTTGACATTTGCTGAGATAATTGCCGTGATTTTGAACCCATAGTTTTTACCGTGCCTAACTTTGGCAATTTTTCACAATTTTCTTTTTTGACTTTCGAAGAAACTTTGATAACAGTCAGATAGAGTAAAAAAAGT